GTGCGTGTGTGTGTGTCTATGTGGGTGTGTGTCTGTGTTTCTGTGAGACATCTCAGCCAGACAGTGCAGGCAGACAAGTGTCTCTGCTGACTGCAGATGAGATAGAGTGTTTACTGACACAGGGAGCATCAGCTACACGTGCTCATCCACATCTTTGCTCCTCGGTACACTTAGTTTGAGGATGCTTAGCTGAACTGTATCTGGCCAGCCTTTGTGATGAGACATAGAGGTACCTCATTTGCCTGATGCCTTGCTATCGTATAATTAGACTTTTTCTTTTTTAAGGTTGCAGTTTGGAGCTTCTTTTTTTTAAAAAGAAAATCACATTATCTCTGCTTGATAATTCAGTTTCATTTTGGATGAACCACACTACATTTGACACATCCAAAAGCACCCACAATTTATTATAAGAAGCAACTACTTACAACTTACAATGGCAGCTACACAAATGAGTCATATACATCTGAATACTAATTAGCTGTATGTGTCAGCTTTAAAGGAGGTGTGACAATCACAGCAGGGGAACTTGCAAAGGAACAAAGAGACCAGATAATTGCTGAACTGCTGGTGCGTCAGTCACAAACTGCAAAATTCTGAAATGTATAATAAAGGAAATGTATTTATTTTCATGCAAGTATTAGGACAGATGGAATGGGAAAAATTTCCATTAAATGTCTATAGGGTTGTAGGTCAGGTGAGGTGAGGTGACTTGTCTAACCAACAATGCCAGTTAATGAATAAATCAATCCTTCTTTGTATAGGACCTTTCATGAAGGTTGACGCAGTTCAAAGTGCTTCATAGATGATTCAACATGTTATAAAAGCTACATAAAAAGAATTAAAAGTACCAAATATAAAACAAGATTTACAATATAAGTAAACCAAAAGGAGAGTTAAAGAAAGAAATTGATTGTTACTAATCGTTCAAACAGAGCACGCACCAAATACTCACATTATTGAAGCAGGAGTCAGAACTTTTACTTAAACTTTGAATTAATTAATGTTAACACCTAATGAACAATTTCAGCTTTTAGTTATTTTATAGCCTAAAGGTTGCATAATTAGAGCCTAAAAATTATCACATATATTCAAAACTCTTAGGTACACCTGTTCAGCTGCTTGGTAATGCAAACATCTCATCAGCCAGTCATGTGGCAGCGACCTGATGGCAGCCTGCCCGATGTTCAGTCTTTCGTCCTTCTGACTTTCCTTCTGAGTCTTTGGAAGTCTTTGCACTTCCACCGGATCTCTGGACTACAAACTCTCTCTCTACTTTTAAATTGTGTCTTAAAACCCATCTATTCAGAATTGCATATTCTTCATCATGACTCCGTCTTAGTCTATTTTTACCTTACTTAGCTTTTATACTTACATACTTTATCTTATTTTTTTATTTTGTTGTACTAATGTAAGGTGACCTTGAGGGTCTTCAACAGGCGCCTATATACCTATATTATTATTATAAACTGAGCATCAGAATGGAGAGAAATGGCAATATAGGTGACTTTCTACAGAGACTGTTCTGCTGATGCCAGAGGTCAGACTGCTTCAAGTTGATAGGAAGGCAACAAATACCGATTCATTAAATGGCCTGCATTTGTATAGCGCTTTACTCAGTCCCTAAGGACCCCAAAGCACTTTACACTACATTCAGTCATTCACACAGACATTCACACACTGGCAATGGCAAGCTGCGTTGTAGCCACAGCTGCCCTGGGGTGCACTGACAGAGGCGAGGCTGCCGGACACTGGCGCCACCGGGCCCTCTGACCACCACCAGTAGGCAAACATAGGGGTTAGTATCTTGCCCAAGGATATTTGGCATGCAGCCAGGAGGCAGCCTGGGATCGAACCACCGACCTTCTGGTTAGTGGCTGACCTGCTCTGCCACCTGAGCTACAGCCACCCCATTACAATCAAGTAGGGTTGCGCGATTATTGTCAAAATTAACTGACAAAAAACTGACAGACAGAGCAAAAAAAAAATTTTCTCTGTCACTTAAACATAACACTGTTTTTGCATCCAAGTTGTGCTACATTCCTGTTCATTTACAAATCTTTGCATCAAAAGAAAATGTATCCTCATTTCCGTAAATTCGGTGCATCGCTTGGAAGAAAACTTGGACCTGCATGAGTGATGTAGCATAGTAATTTACTGTTGTGAGATCTATCTCTTTTTCTCCTGCAACATTTTGCAGGTTTTTCCATCTTGAAAAAACCCCCAAATGCATTCCTGAAGCTTTCAATAGTAAAAATGTTTAGTGAACGCTTTGTGTTAGTGATTTCAGTACATCTTTGATAACAAAGTGGTGTGCCATACAGCCTCACTTTTATGAATGTCTGAGTTGATGTTGAGCAATTCATGTTAGCAACCATTGCATTGCTTCTCTTGTCCTTCATGCATTAATTATACTAATTATTTGGTGGTAAGTTTTCAGGCCGCTGGTTATGTTAGTTGTGTTGCTTTGTGGCACAGAGACAACTCTACAACACTCTTCTTGGTCAATGTCACTAACCCTAAATCCGCTTTGAGTGATAAGCTCTTCACCTTCTACTGTGTCAGTCATTTGATTTTTTAATATATCTGTCTTTTTACATTGTGTTATCGGTCTAGACTAGTCCAGGAAGCTTCAGGCTTCGTAATGCAGTGAACAGTTGTGATTTGTGGTTCAGCGCTGATTTAGTCAGGTGGGGCAGTGCCTCATTTGTTTTTGCTTTGCGTTCGATTTAAATAACACATTTTCAAGACTGTCTGTGTTTAAATGTGGGAAGCCAAAATTGTGTCCCTACAACCAACCTATGCACAACGCAAAACACATCAAGCACATCGAAGCAGTTGGGCTACAGCCACAGAAGACCACACTGGGTGCCACTCCTGTCAGCTAAAAACAGGAAACTGAGGCTACAATTTGCACAGGTTAACTAAAATCTGACGATAGAAGATTGGCTAAACATTGTATGCTTTTTTTTTTTTTTTTTT